GTCAACTTGGAATTCTACAGCTAGCAAAAATATCCTTCAAAAGTAAAGGTAAACCATGTAGAATTAATCTCAGGAAAGCAAGGATGGTTCAACATACAAAAATCTATCCATGTAATATACTGTATTAAAGGAATGAAGGAAAATAAATGAGCAAGATTATCTTAATTGATACACAAAAGCATTTGGCACATGATAAAACCACTTAACAAACTTGAAATGAAAGAGAACTTCCTCAACATGATAAAGGACATCTATGAAAAACCCATAGCTAATATCATACTCAATGGTAAAAGACTGAAAGCTTTGTTCCTAAGATCAAGAGAAAGATAAGGATGCCTACTTTTGCATTTGTATTCAGTATTAGATTGGGAGTTCTAGCCTGAGCAACTAAGCAAGTAAAATAAATGAAAGACATTCACTGGAAAGGAAAAAAGTCCGTTGAGAACACTATCAAAAAGAATACAATAATTAAGAATAAATTTAATCAAGGAGGTACAAGACATGTACACTGAAAACTATAAAATATTGCTCCTGAAAGAAATTAAAGAACACCTAAAAAAGAAAAAACATCTATGTTCATGAGTTGAAGTACTTAGTTGTCAAGATGGCAATATTCCCCAAAGCAAACTACAGATTGAATGCAATCCCTATCATAATGCCAATAGCCCTTTTCAGTCATTAAGGAAATGTAAATCAAACACAACAGGATATACCACTTAGCACCCCCTAGGATGGGTATAATAAAAATAATTTTTGAATCCCAACAAGTGCCAACAGTGTAAGGAAACACTGCCAATTTGGAATTCAAGTGCCAACATTTTTGGGATTTAAAAGAATATGGAAATATTGGAACCCTCATACATTCCTGGTAAAAATGTAAAATTGTGCAGCCACTGTGGAAGACAGTTTGGTGGTTGTTCAAAAAGTTAAACATAGAAATACCATATGGTCCAGCAATACACTTCTAAAATAATTGAAAACAGATATTCAAACAGATGTACACAAATATTCATAGCAGCACTATTTACAACAGCCAAAAGGTGGAAACAACCCAAATGCCCATCAATGGATAAATGAATGAATAAATAAATTGCGGTATATCCATACAATGGAATGTTATTTAGCCATAAAAAAGAATGAAGTACTAATATATGCCACAAAGTGAATCAACCTCAAAAACATTATACTAAGTTAGAGAAGCCAGACATGGAAAGTCATATATTGTATATTCTACTTACATGAATTATGTAGAATAGTTAAGTCCCATTAGTGGTTGCCAGGGACTAGGGGAGTGAGAGAATTGCGAGTTACCGCTTAACACGTACAGGGTCTCGTTTGGGAGTGATGAAAATATTTTGGAATTAGATAGAGGTGATGGTTGAATGACATTATGAATGTACTGTCTCACTAAATTGTATACTTTAAAATGGTTAATTTTATGTTACATGAATTTCACCCCAATATAAACATATAAATAAACAAATAAATTTGATTTTACTCAATTGCCAAAGAAAATGAAGGCAAAATAGACATTTTAGCAAATCGAATCTGAAAGAATTATAAAAACTAACCTAAGAAAGACCAAACCTCTGTCTGTGTGTGTGTGTGTGTGTGTGTGTATGTATGTGTTCATTAAAGAAACTTACAGTTAGCTTCATACTTAAAAAAGGTTAAATTCTTTTCACCTAAAATCAGGAATGAAGCAAGTATTCTATTCTTACTACTTCCTATTCAACATAGCACTAAACAGCGTAGTCAATGCAATGAGGCAAGAAAAGAAATAAAAAGCATATGAATTGAAAAGAAAAAATAAAATTATCTTCAGATGGCATAATCACAGGCATAGAAAATCCTTTAGAAACCACAAGTTACAAAGAACTAATAAGTGAATTTAGTAAGATCCCAGGATATAAGAAAATATACAGAAAATCAATTGTATTTATAAATACTATAGAAAAACAATTGAAAAGTGAAACTTTTAAAAATATGAAAGCTTATTCCAGAAAACTATCAATAACATGACCTACTTGTGGATAAATTTAACTAAATATGTGCAAAACCCATATAATAAAAATATCAAAACATTACTGAAAAAATGACTAATAACATAAACGGAGAAATATACCATATTTACAAACCAGAAGACTCAATATTGCTAAGCTATTCATTCTCCCCAAATTAATCTGTAGATTCATCACAACTTCATTCCAAACCCCAGCAGACTCTTTTATCATAGAAATTGGTAATGATATTCTCAATTTTTTATAGAAATACAAAGGCTTAGAATAAAAATAAAATAAAAGAACAAAGTTGTAGGATTTATCCTACTTGGTTTTGAAGACACATAATAAAAAAATCATCAACAACATATTATTGTAGTAAAGATACAAATATAGGTCAGAGTAATAAAATAGAGTCCAAAAATAGGCATATACACATACACAGTCAACCGATTTTTGAAAAAGTACCAACTGGGAAAGAAAAGAGCTTTCAAAAAACATTGTTTGCAAAAGTTGACAATTTTTTTTAATGTCAAACAAAGAACTTCACCCCTACTTCATATTACACACAAAATTAATTTGAAGTATTAACCTAAGCATAAAAACTTAATTATAGGCTAGGCACAGTGGCTCACACCTGTAATCCCAGCACTTTGGGAGGCCAAGGCAGGTGGATCACCTGAGGTCAGAGTTTGAGACCAGCCTGGCCAATATGGTGAAACCCCATCTCTAATAAAAATACAAAAATTAGCTGGGTGTGGTGGTGGGCACCTGAAATCCCAGCTACTCAGGAGGCTGAGGCAGGAGAATTGCTTGAACACAGGAGCCAGAGGTTTCAGTGAGCTGAGATCATGCCATCATACTCCAGCCTGGGTGACAGAGCAAGACTCCATCTTAAAAAAAAAAAAAAAAAAAAAGAAGTAAATGATAATACTGTAAAAGAAAAACTAAACTGTTAGAAAATAATGTAGGAAAATATCGTTGTAACCATGATAGGCAAAAACGTCTTAGATAGAACACAGGAAGCACAAAGGATAAAAGAAAAATTGATAAATTGGACTTCATTAAAATTAAAAACCTCTGTTCTTTGAAATACGACATTAAAAAAATAAGGTAAGCTACACACTAGCAGAAAAGTTTCACAATACATATATCTGACAAATAACTTACACCTAGAATTTATTTTTTAAATGTTGTAAATGCAATTAGAAGAAAAGTAACCTAATATAAATGGGGAAAATGTTGAAACAAACATTTAAAAATGGCTAAAAAGCACATGAAAATATACCCAACATCATTAGTCATCAAGAAAATCAAAATTACAACTGCAATGAGATAATAATATAAACCCACAACAATGACTGGAATTGAAAAGATGGACAATATCAAGTGTCAGTGAGAATACAGACCAACTGGAACTCTCATATACTATTGATGGGAATGTAAAATGGCACAACCACTTTGTGAAACAGTTTGACGGTTTTCTATAAGTTAAATTACGCTGGCCACGCAACCCAGTAATTTCACTCCTAAATATTAACTCAAGAAAATAGTATAAATTACATACCAAGTAATTATCAGTATTACATACCAAGTAATTATTTTGCAAAAAATTAATAGACATGTAAATACATAAACAGATGGTGTTACCTTTGTACAATGCAATATTACTCAGTGATAAAAAGGAATAAACGTCTGTTACACATGATTCACATGGATGAATCACCAAATAAAATTTTTAAATGCTGAGCAAAAGAATCCAGACCCCAAAGAATCCAGAACTCCTGTTTATTTCATTTACATAAAGTTCTAAATAGGCAAAACTATAATTGCAGAAAGCAGATTCATTCTTGCCTAAAGCTGAGGTTGGGTGTGGTCTTTAATTGCAAAGCATGAGAAGGAAATTTGGGGAATAATGATCAGACTTTCTACCTTGACTGCTGTGATGTTTACATCTCTACATTTGACAAAACTCATTAAACTTTCTCCTTAAAATTACACATTGTATCTTATGTTAATTATACCTCCATAAAATTGCTTTAAAAAATAAATGCATAAGGAGATACTTAATTAATGTTATTTATGACATAGGACTCTCAAGAAAGTGTATTTAACAAATATATAGAAAGAAAACTTGTTTGTCCATGCTGAATCTTTTGTTTTTCAGAGAACTCAAGGCACATTTCCTCCTGGCAGACAAATAGGAGTAGAAAGGCAGGGAAACTTTCCTTGTCATAAAAGCCACATATCAGCTGATTCCCAGTTAGTTCATCAATTAGAAGAAACTTTCAGGAAACTACCAAAAGCAGAGATCAAAGTCAGATCCAAGAGCAATTTCTAATTCATCATGAAAGAAAACCTCAGAAAATCTGTTTTGGCTATGACAAGAAGTAGTGCACAGGGCCCTGAATCATAGATTTTAAAATCAGAGACACTAAGAGCATCTTTTTTGAATATTTTAAATCAAAGGTGAGGCTATGGCAACTCATGAAGAAAACCTCTGAATCACCCATGGAAATAAGAGGTGCTGACCACAAAGGGCTTTGACCTTCACAAAGCCTCAGAAATTTCATGACTGATCCCTAAGAGCTTTGAAACACACCATTTGATCAATGGAATCATAACGGTAACAGGATGAACATACAGAATTCCTCCTCTATGCTTCTTCCTAAAGGAGGTGAGAAATTTATGTCACTAGAAAAAGAAGAAATTATTCTATCTCCAATTGACAAATCAGTTGATTTAATACACTTAGGATCGATAAGGGTATTTTTAAAGGTCTGATGTGAGCCTTCGGGATGCTAAGCACAAGTGTTATTGATTCCAATTGATTTTATAGTTGACTATGGGCTACGTGAGGTAAAGAAAAGAAGGCAGGGTTGAGTAAGAGGTGCGATTCATGGCTCTGTCACTTGCTGGAGTGTGAGCTTAGGAAAATCACTTGATCTCAGTTGTTTCATTTTTCTCATCTGCAAAGCAAGTCTTCCTGGGCTGGGCTCGATGAAGAAGGAATTGGAGCTCTGCAGGCCACAGGAGGCCCATCATGCAGGAGGTTCAGCTTTGAAAGCCAAGTTCATGGGTGAAGGCAAAACCAGCCCAATCGCCCCATAGAAATTATGTTTACGAATTTTCGAATAAACATAGACATTGGCCCTTCTGGTCTTAAAACTTGTAGTTTACATTTGTCTCATCTGAGATCCCCCTCAGGCAAGGGACTGAAACTCATCAGATCCCTGCATTCAATGAGATGCCAGACCCTTCTTTCCTCATAAGCGCTTCCTTACCCTTCCTTAGTTCCTGTTTTACTTTCCTTCCCCACTGTATAAATCTCCCAATTCAGTTGGTGGGGAGATGGATTTCAGACTGACTTTCTGTTCTCCTTGGCTGCAGCACCAAAACAAAGCCTTCTTCCCTAGCAATACTCATTGTCTCAGTGATTACCTTTCTGCATGGCAAAGAACCTAGACAAAATCCTTGGTGTTTTGGTAACAAAACATTAAGCTGTAGCACTGGAGGGGTGTGACAGTTAATACTGAGTGTCAACTTGATTGGATTGAAGGATGCAAAGTAGTGATCATGGGTGTGCCTGTGAGGGTGTTGTTAATGGAGATTAACATTGGGAGAGGCTGACCCACCCTTAATCTGGGTGGGCACCATCTAATCAGCTACCAGCATGGCTAGAATATAAAGCAGGCAGAAAAACATGAAAAGTCTAGACTGGCTTAGCCTCCCAGCCCTCATCTTTCTCCTGTGCTGGATGTTTCCCACACTCAAATATCAGACTCCATGTTCTTCAGCTTTGGGACTCTGACTGGCTCATCTTGCTCCTCAGTTTGCAGACGGCTTACTGTGGGACTTTGTGATCATATGCGTTAATACTACTTAATAAACTCTCATATAGATAAAGATATAGATATAGATATATATCTGTCCTATTAGTTCTGTCCCTCTAGAGAACCCTGACTAATACAGGGGGTGAAGTGAGAGGTACTGTAGCTCAGAAATGAAGTTAATTCCAGAAAATTTTTATTGACATTCCTATGGGTGAATCTATTGATGGTTTGGTCTGGCTTAAAGTATCAGACTGGGTAGAAAATCAATAGTACAGCTCAGGATCATGGTGAGGATTAAAGAAGAGCATAGGTGCCTATTGCAGTGGCTGGCACAAAGAGTATTCAATACAAAGAGTATTCAAAATACTCAATACAAAGAGTATTCAAAAATAAACTTTGGTATAGGTAATGGGCTGAATTATGTCCTCCCAAAATTCATATGTTAAAAGTGCTAATCCCTCTAGGGGGGGCGGAGCAAGATGGCCGAATAGGAACAGCTCCAGTCTCCAACTCCCAGCGCGAGCGACACAGAAGACCAGTGATTTCTGCATTTTCAACTGAGGTACTGGGTTCATCTCACTAGGAAGTGCCAGACAATCGGTGCTGATCAGCTGCTGCAGCCCGACCAGTGAGAGCTGAAGCAGGGCGAGGCATCGCCTCACCTGGGAAGCGCAAGGGGAAAGGGAATCCCTTTTCCTAGCCAGCGGAACTGAGACACACAACACCTGGAAAATCGGGTAACTCCCACCCCAATACTGCGCTTTAAGCAAACAGGCATACCAGGAGATTATATCCCACACCTGGCCGGGAGGGTCCCACGCCCATGGAGCCTCACTCATTGCTAGCACAGCAGTTTGCGATCTCGCGGCAAGGCAGCAGCGAGGCTGGGGGAGGGGCGCCCGCCATTGCTGAGGCTTAAGTAGGTAAACAAAGCCGCTGGGAAGCTGGAACAGGGTGGAGCTCACAGCAGCTCAAGGAAACCTGCCTGTCTCTGTAGACTCCACCTCTGGGGACAGGGCACAGTAAACAAAAGCAGCAGAAACCTCTGCAGACGCAAACGACTCTGTCTGACAGCTTTGAAGAGAGCAGTGGATCTCCCAACATGGAGGTTGAGATCTGAGAACGGACAGACTGCCTGCTCAAGTGGGTCCCTGACCCCTGAGCAGCCTAACTGGGAGACATCCCCCACTAGGGGCAGTCTGACACCCCACACCTCACAGGGTGGAGTACACCCCTGATAGGAAGCCTCCAAAGCAAGAATTAGACAGGTACACTCGCTGTTCAGCAATATTCTATCTTCTGCAGCCTCTGCTGCTGACACCCAGGCAAACAGGGTATGGAGTGGGCCTCAAGCAATCTCCAACGACCTACAGCTGAGGGTACCGACTGTTAGAAGGAAAACTATCAAACAGGAAGGACACCTACACCAAAACCCCATCGTACGTCACCATCATCATCAAAGACCAGAGGCAGATAAAACCACAAAGATGGGGAAAAAGCAGGGCAGAAAAGCTGGAAATTCAAAAAATAAGAGCGCATCTCCCCCGGCAAAGGAGCACAGCTCATCACCAGCAACGGATCAAAGCTTGACGGAGAATGACTTTGACGAGATGAGAGAAGAAGGCTTCAGTCCATCAAACTTCTCAGAGCTAAAGGAGGAATTACATACCCAGCGCAAAGAAACTAAAAATCTTGAAAAAAAAAGTGGAAGAATTGATGGCTAGAGTCATTAATGCAGAGAAGGTCATAAACGAAATGAAAGAGATGAAAACCATGACACGAGAAATACGTGACAAATGCACAAGCTTCAGTAACCGACTCGATCAACTGGAAGAAAGAGTATCAGCGATTGAGGATCAAATGAACGAAATGAAGCGAGAAGAGAAACCAAAAGAAAAAAGAAGAAAAAGAAATGAACAAAGACTGCAAGAAGTATGGGATTATGTAAAAAGACCAAATCTACGTCTGATTGGGGTGCCTGAAAGTGAGGGGGAAAATGGAACCAAGCTGGAAAACACTCTTCAGGATATCATCCAGGAGAACTTCCCCAACCTAGTAGGGCAGGCCAACATTCAAATCCAGGAAATACAGAGAACGCCACAAAGATACTCCTCGAGAAGAGCAACTCCAAGACACATAATTGCCAGATTCACCAAAGTTGAAATGAAGGAAAAAATCTTAAGGGCAGCCAGAGAGAAAGGTTGGGTTACCCACAAAGCGAAGCTCATCAGACTAACAGCAGATCTCTCGGCAGAAACTCTACAAGCCAGAAGAGAGTGGGGGCCAATATTCAACATTCTTAAAGAAAAGAATTTTAAACCCAGAATTTCATATCCAGCCAAACTAAGTTTCATAAGTGAAGGAGAAATAAAATCCTTTACAGATAAGCAAATGCTTAGAGATTTTGTCACCACTAGGCCTGCCTTACAAGAGACCCTGAAGGAAGCACTAAACATGGAAAGGAACAACCAGTACCAGCCATTGCAAAAACATACCAAAATGTAAAAACCATTTAGACTAGGAAGAAACTGCATCAACTAATGAGCAAAATAACCAGTTAATATCATAATGGCAGGATCAAGTTCACACATAACAATATTAAACTTAAATGTAAATGGACTAAATGCTCCAATTAAAAGACACAGACTGGCAAACTGGATAAAGAGTCAACACCCATCAGTCTGCTGTATTCAGGAGACCCATCTCACATGCAGAGATATACATAGGCTCAAAATAAA